CAGCCCGGGGCTGCCAGCAGTGGGGTCGAGCAGGGGAGGCAGGACGGGCGCGGGCGGGAGCTGAAACCCAACGGTTTCTCTGGGAATTGGCTGAGGCCGGGGTCGAGGGGGGAAAGGTCTGAAGCCCGCAGCGCCCGAGGCCGCGGGTGAAGGGTGCGGGGGAGGTGAAGGTGACTGGTGACCGCGGCCAGCCGAGGGCGGGGACCCTGACTTGGGGGGTGAGTCCGACCGGGGGAGAAAGGGCGAGGTGCGGCGGACACAAGCGGGATCGGCGGGACAGACCCGCGTGAAATGCGGCCAACGTTGTCCTGAGCCCGCAGGCACTTGGGCCACCGCGTCCACCCTACTCCCCCCTCCACCTGGGACGTCTCCAGGGTCCCCGGTGGGGCTGCTAGCTTGGGAGAATGGAAATCCTCGCCCCTCCTCCACCACATTCTAGGGCCGGGCTGTCCCCCTCAGGCCGAGATTCCTGGAGAGCGCGGCGCGGGAGGTGACCAGATCTCCCACAGCAACACCACAGCGCACTTGGCCTCCAGCGTGCTCTCCGAATGCGGGTCACCTCCCTGGTCACTCCGGAACCCCTCTGTGCTGCGACCCTGCGGAGGAAGGGGCTGCCCCCAAGCCGACTCGGCTTCTGGGGTCCCTGAAAACCCAGCCCGCCCTGGGGAAGGGAGGGAAGAGACGGTCACTTTTCCCTTTGGGTGCGCCTCAGGAGAGGGGCGGCCCCTTACAGCAGGCCAGGCGGTGGCAAACCCTAAGGTCACTTGCGAGGCTGCCATTCAAGGTGCTCCCAGTTGGGCCTAGACCCACCCCTCTTGTGGCTGCCCGAGGCTGCCATGCAGACACCATCTCGCGCCTCCGTCCAAGCCTTGCTTCTGAGTTCCCTCTGTCTGGAATGCTCTTCCTTTGTCATCCCTAGCCCTCGCCCCAGCCCTCCACCCGTCTTTCTATCCTGCCCCACCCCAAGCCCCGCCACCACACGGGCTTCTACCCCCCATGGCAGGCGACGCGTACTCGCGCGCTTGGTCCTTGGTGCTTCCTTCCTAGGGTCGCTGAACCCTGAGAGCCGGAGCTCCCTGAGGGCAGAACTGCGCCTTTTAACACTTGGCACACAGTGGGCGTGGGGGGTGAAAAGAGCTTGACAGGAAGGTGGAAACGGACAGAGACCCAGGGAGCAATGCTGGTGGCTGCACTTTTAGACAAGATGCAAATGAGTCTATAAAACTGACAGTCCTACCCCTCACCCTCCTCCGCCCCCTCTACACACACTTCTTGTGCTGTCCCCTAGACTTGGAGAAGCCACCGCTGTCCCCAGAGCTCTCAGAGCAGCGTCTACAGGCCCCAGCCAAGAAGCTGCGCAAGCCGAGAACCATCTACTCCAGCCTGCAGCTGCAGCACCTGAACCAGCGATTCCAGCACACACAGTACCTGGCGCTGCCCGAGAGGGCCCAGCTGGCCGCGCAGCTCGGCCTCACCCAGACCCAGGTGAGGCCAGTCCTGTCCTTTCCAGAGCTCTAGCCTTCCCCCTGCCTGGTTTCTGGGAACCTATCCTCCAGGTGTGAATGACAGATGGATCCCCTGGTCCTGTTGCCACTGTTCTTCCATGAGTGTTCATAGCAGGCTCTCAGTAAGCGTCAGAGGGACGTGCATGTGTGTGTGGCAGAGGGGTCAGGTAGAGGAGGGCACACCAGACAGGGAGCACTGGTTGCTAGCGCAGAGGCAGGAACTCATGGGACTTTGGACTGTGTTGGACGGGAGCAAACGTTCCTAACCTCTGCTCGGCTCCGGCTCGGGGGCTGCTCCCTGCAGCTGAGTCCCTTTCCCTTCCTCGAACCTTTCCATACTCCTCCTGATCTTCAATTCTTCCCCCGTTTCTCCCCAAAGGTAAAGATCTGGTTTCAGAACAAGCGCTCCAAATACAAGAAGCTCCTGAAGCAGAACTCTGGGGGCCAGGAAGGGGACTTACCTGGGAGGACTTCCTCCCTGTCTCCCTGCTCTCCAGCCCTTCCCTCCCTCTGGGATCTCCCCAAAGCAGGGGTCCTGCCCACTGGTGGTTATAGCAACAGCTTGGGAGCCTGGTATCAGCATCACTCCCCAGAAGTCCTGGCTCTGCCTCAGATGATGTGAGTCTGGAAAGGGCGAGTCATGCCCTCAGCCCTCCTATAAAGTCCAGGACCCAGCACCCCTTCTGGGCTGGGAGGAAACCAACTCCAGATGGATTATCTCTAGAGAACAAGGAATTAGAGGAGAAAAGAGGATGGAGTGGGGTCTTGGACCCCTAACCCACATAGCTAAATCAAGGACCTCGGCCAGAACTGCTGTCCCCCACCACTTTTATGGATGGGGCACCTTCCCTTCAGCTAGACAGAGGCTCTGGAGAGAGTCCTTAGCTGGAGTTGAGACTGCCCCCAGGACCCTTGGTCGGGCCACTCCCCTCCCACCGCCCTTGACCCCCCGCACTGCCCTCAAAAGGACTACCATCCCACTGCATCCTGACTGCCAGCCAGAAAAATGTTGAGTTGTTTTTTTTTAAACCTTTGTGTGCCTTGGGCCTTGTCCTGCCCATGTGTGGCTACTATTGGGTCCCACCCACCCACTGATTTTTCTTGGAAGTCAGCCCATTATCCTCATAACTGACACACCCATTCACTGTCGCAGGAGGCAGGAGAGATGCAGAGAAATGTGGAGTGTGTGGCCCTAGGGTAACATATTCTCTCCTAGAAAAGCCCTCTTTTCCCCATGTCTACCCATTTGGAATAGATATTGGATCCAATTATCTGAGTAATTCACCAGGTATTTATTAAGAGGCTGTCCTCTCCTGTCCCCACCCAATGCCTAACAAACCCACATGCACACACTCTTGGAAACACAGTCAGATGACACTTTGGGGGAAATAGGGACATACAGGCTCTTGGATGAGTGCGGGTTGAGACACCCTGAAATAGGTGGGGTGGGCCTTGAGTTCAGCTCCTCACAGATGTCTCTGTCTAAAGGAACTGCTCAGATGTATAACTGATCTGAACCAGCATTCCTCAAGCTCTTACCATCCCTCATGTTGTAAACTTTCAGAGATTAAAGTTTGTACAAAAACCTGGGTCTTGGCTGTGTGGTGTGTTTGCTTGGGGGTGGGGCCTGGTTACCTATCTCATCTTTCCCATCTGACCCATCTGCACACTGAACTTGAATTTGAGATTTGCCTCTGCCACCGACTAGCTCTGTGGTGCTAGCTCTGGCACATCTGATAATGTTCATTCCACAGTTTCTTACACTCCCAGGTGAAACCAGAAGATGCTCATTCTGGAGATGTTTGAGGTCCGAGTGACCCTCACTGGCACATTTGTTCTCAGTCCAATTCTGGAACAGCCCCTGCGCTTCACCTTTGGTCTGGGGAGAGGCCCTGTTTACCTTGGGAGAGAACACGCCCCTGGTCCAATCCAGCCTGAGGAAGTATGCTGCTTGGAGGCAGAATGCCCACAGCTCTCTGTGAGGAAGGAGGAGGGGAAAGAGAAGGGGGACACTGACAAGAACTGGACTTCACTGTCCAACAGACATCCGTAGAGCCTCTGTGTTAGATTCTAGGGATGCCAAGATGACCCAGGCGATGCTTTGGGCTAACAGGGAGTCAAATGACCAGAGGCTTGTGTGGCAAATGCCAGACAGAGGGCAGTGTGGGGATTGTCAAGGGGCTCCCATTCATCCTGGGATGCACAGCACCCCAGGGATTAGGGCGCAGGGGGCTGAGGATCAGGGCAGTGGAATCATTCAGGGAATTCCACCCTGCTGGCCTGAGGGGTTGGGGGAAGGGCCTCCAATTCCAGGCAGAAAGCTTCCAAGTCGGGTGTCCCTCCTGCTGTCTAAGCCTGTTCCCAGGCTCTGCAAGCTCAGGGCCTGCTGCAGTCTGAAAAGCCCACTTGGCACTTCTGGCCAATCCCAGCAGACCAGAGAGCCACCCAAATCCAGGTCACAAGGC